CCTACACTTTAATCCCACTTCTGTTCAGTACGTTCTACAACTCCGATCGCTGTCGAGTAGTACAAATCATCCATAGTACTAAAAGTTTAATATCCGAATACAATTTAAAGAGACCGTCCGATTTATAAACTCATTTCGCATCGTCGCCATCTTGAAAAATAGTTTTAAAATATTCTGTTTCCGTGAGATTTCGAATTAAGTGGAGTCTGCCGGCGGACCATAATCTTTCAAGCCTGCTTTCATCTTAAAAAGGGGTTTTCCCCGTTCGCGGAGTTTAATGCCGAAAGTTTCAGTTGAAATTTTACATTCGCGTCACATTCCGCTCGAGAGACGCGACCATTGCGTCGGCTGCGAGCGTTCTATCCGCGGTGAACGTCGTGTTCGCGGAAAATTACGAGCGGAAGGTAAATATAAGCGGGGGGCGGGCGTTAATTCCAAACGATTGCGCCTTGTGTTTCGTGACCGACGGAAATCTGATTTCGCTCGATTTTCAAGTAAGTGCGTATTACGTGTGCATCATGCACGGTCGCGTTGCTCGCTCGACCCTGTATGAAGTCTTCTTTCTTTTCTGCCACGGTACAAAAGAGCCTCTCGATGCGCTTGTCCGAGGATGAACCTGGAAAATTACGCTAGGTTAAATCAATGCTCTGCTCCGGTAATTGTCCGTTCGTTCGCTACTTCCGGGAACACGTAATACCTCCTCAGTTTTTAAACAGATACTTCTGCGATGCCTCGCTATCCTGTTTCAACGCGAAAATCGATTTTGATTAACGCGAAATGCACCTGAAAATCACCAGATATTAGGAAGCTAATACACAAGCAAGCTATAGATAATTTTAATTAATATACCACGATGCACAGATTGCCTCTCGCGAGACACGTTAATTATTTTCTATGCAGTTTCGTCTATTTTGCGTTATTAACGTCTGGTGTTGGAGCATTAAGCTTGAACGAAACGGATGGACGGAAATAGAGAAAAAATAGTTCACGTCAGTAAGAGGAAACGACGAGATTTTCTTTTTTCCTCTGGTCAAACAAGTAATCGTTTGCATTCTGCGGCTTTATATACGTTTTTGCTCGTCCCGTTTCTAATCTGTTCGGGCCTGGAATTTATTTCCCGAGGATTTATACGTTTCCGACTAAGTAAACTCATTTGCATTTCAAATATCACCTTTGATTTTTCTCCTCCGACTCCAAGTGACCTTTTTTTCTCTGTTCCCTTTTTTTAATAAATTTATCGGCGAGAGGTCACGTGCGCCTAGCTACGTTTCCTTTTCACCTACTCGCCTTGATTCGACCGAAGCAGTCTGTGTGACACTTAGCATTACAATCCGCCGGCTGAAATCAGCGTAATACAAGAAAAACGAAGGGGAATCTCGTCGGATAACACGAAAAAACGATTAAAACTCTGTCTCGCATCGAAACAAATTTCTTTATCGTCGCTAGAGTATAAACGAAGTTCTTCGTTACGGACAAATTTTCTTCGAACTTTTTATCCATTTTAAGTGAATATTCATTTAATCCAGAATCCGTTTAATAAGTTGGATCTTTATATTCCGACTAAAGAAAGTTTCTGCCACTAAATTGGTTCCATCCTTCACGAATGTTTTCGGAAAGATACCATTGGCCGTCGCGAAAGTGGAAAATTAAAATAATTCCAAGGCAAACTTCCTAGTTTTACACGGAACAAAATTTATTACAGGGAGTTCGTTTTCCTGATATTTCTCACTCCCGGAGTTTCCCCAAGTGTGATTCGGAGTCGATGATAACCGGGGTCCTTGCTATTCGACAAAAACTTTTCGATCCAGGAACAGGATAACGAAGGGGACGCTATATTCGCCCTGGCATTTATTAATTTTTCGCCTTGCAATAATATTAATTCTTGTGTCTCTTTAACAATATCAATGGATTACCAAGGAGCTGTGCACACATTTCGATAAACCCAAAGTAAAAGCAACGGTATGCTTTCGCAAAACCGTGAATAATCACAGTAATTAAATACATCGAAAGTGTGTCAACGACCGAGTTGGCGTTAGAATGAAGTGTTCTTGCATCGTTGGTTACCGAGTATCCATCCCAACTGCGGAGTAGCGTATATCAACTACCCTTTTGCAGCAGTTGATCCGCGGTATCAGCGAGATATATACGATACGCCAACACAGGGAGGGGTGGGGAGGAACTGTAAAAGTTCGAGGGAATATTCGTTCGTCAGGAAAATGTTTGATTAAATGGTAGGAGGGGGTGCATTACCCTGCCATTAAAGTTTCCCCTTATTCCCGGAAGAGGCTGCAGAACGCCACTTGGCGTATCGTAACAAGAGAAAACGCGTAGCACTTCCCTTGGTAGGCGGTTAATGCACTCAGACGACGAGTAGCGTAACATCGACATGTCGGCGGGGACTTGGGTTCTATCGATTTCGTATCAGTTTCTGGTATCCCGTCGTAAGGGAACGCGCACGTACGCGCCACAAAAACACGTTTCACATCCACGGAACAAGCGCAAACAGCCCCCCCTCTCCGTTGTACCGACGGAAACGGACTCACACGTGCTCGCACAATCGGCACGGAAACGCGAGCGCACTTACAAACGAGCGACCGGGCACACGGGCACACACGGTTCAACACACGCGTTGTCCCGCGGCGTGGAATACCTGCACGGGCTTCTGTACGCGCGTAACGACGATAAAACAATGCCCGGGATAATAGGAGGGTTACCTTTGCCTCCGAGCGTCTTAAAGCCACCGTGCCACCCCTGCGTCGCGCTGTCTCTAAATCTGCGTTCATCTCGTTTTTCTATAGCCACTGTTCGCCCGGAGAATGGATATGGGTCATTCCACGTGAAATGAGCGAATTCATTGAACTCATCGACGTCTGAATGCTGCAGAAAAGCCGATTGCTGAAGCGCATTCGAACGCAGCCCTCGCGTCCGCCCCCCCCCCTCCCCCTTCGTGCGTTATATTTCCTGCACCTTGTTACCGGCGAGTATTCAAGAATCTTTTTTTTTCTGCTATTCAACATTTGTGACCAACCGCTTCGAGGAGCAAAATCACCGTTGCAAATTGCGCCCGGAGTTTTTAATTCCGTGCACCGACGACATCGAGGAACCCCGCCATTTTAAAGTGGCGCAGTTCCCTATCGGGTCGTTGTTAATTATTATTTATTTTCTGCTCGCATTGTGCGCGATCTGTTTTAATCGTCGGCGAGGGTGCAATTCAAGAAATTGCCGCGCACGAGACTCCCGGAACGTCCACCGCGAAGTAGGGAATCTGAAAAGAATCAGTGATACGGGCGAAAAAGAGAGGAAGAGAACAAGAACATATTTAAAAACCTGTTGGATATGCGTGCACTTAACTAATTGGAAGCCTCCGGGAGTTGTGCGCGCGGCCATGCGGCTGCGGTGTAGACAATCCCTCTAATAGAATTAATTTTAGAAGGTACTTGTCATCGTCTAATACGATGCTACGCTTCGAAATTCGTTATATTAAGTGCATTGTTCCAAAAGGAATTAAGAGACTTTCTTGATAAAAGAAGAAAAGCTTTGCTATTGAAAACAACGAGCAAACAGGTGCTAAAAATTTTCCCTGTTCAGTTGTGCTCCCACCATTTGACTCTAACAGCGCTCAGTGTTATTTGTCACTTCTCATAAGGAGACCTCAATGTGCAACTGTGCAAAGTGATAGTGTTCTCAGAAAAGTGATTACGCCACTGAAGGTCGACATTTGACTCTAACGATGCTCAAATGTTAAGTGTTATTTGTCACTTTTCATAAAGCGACCTCTATATGTAACTCTGCATAGTAACAGTGTACAGTAACAGTGTTCTCGAAAAAGTGCTATCCCAGTTCTCGTTGATTACGCCAATGGAGGTCGACACTGGGAATTAATTTTATCGAACGATGAGGCGAGGATGATATATTTTCTGGGTACGCTACGCAAAAGAATGTAGGTTGGGAAGGCTAATAGGAAGGCAAGAATTTCGTGGGTAGGCGGGGGTTGGCGGAGGATCGTTTCTCATTAACAGGTTTCCCGTGGTACCGCGGCGAGTCGAGATCGGGGATCGACTCCGCCCGAAACCGACGAAAAATGTCATTATCGAGGTCGGTGTCTCGTGAAACGGATTCGAATCGGCGCCTCGTTACATCTTCTCCGGGACGGACACTCGACCCCGTTTGAAAGGATCTCGAGGGCGTCCTTTCAGACCAGCGATCCTTAATTAATCTGGAAATCGAATCGGGAAGGAAGAAGAGCCGAGTTTCCGCCGATAGGTCGAAACGAATTCGCTCACGGGGTTCGGAGGCGGCTTATACCAGCCTCCGTTTCCTCGAAAATACTTCCAGTCGGGATTTAGACTTCCCGCTTTACTGTTCACCTTCAGCTAAAATCGCTTTCGTTTCGCCTTGTCTAATCGCTTTCTCGTTTGCCTCGGGGCCACCGAAAGCCAGCGCGAGTTTCCTTCGGTACGGAGTGTACAAGGATGTCTCGGGCAATTAGGATGGTTCTTGTCTCGTCGAAGATAAAACCAAACGGCGGAAGAAAGAAGTCCCGAACAGTGCCGCGACAGTGATTTTCCTCGAGGATCCTCTCTGGAGATCTTTCGATCAATTTGATTTGATTTTGTCCGATTTATTTGTGGGGGGGGGGGGGTGAAATCCCCAGTATCCACCCATTTACGATGTTTAATCGTCGCGTTCAACGAATTTAAATTCCGTCGAGTTGTTTCTAGTTATGCCTCGAAAATCGATACTCCGCAAAACCAATTGGCGAAGTATTGGAAAAACCGCGAATTATCGAGTTCTATGGAAATGATTTTATAGAGGAGCTTTCACTTTGATCGATAAAATTGGTCGGCTGGTCTCGCGACCAAAGTGCAATCGTGGTTGGTTCTATCAATTGTTAAATTGCTAATAGTCCTGGTACTAATTAAGGGCTAAGGAATATCTTACCTGTGTTGAAAGATTTGGGAACGATATAACTACGAGAAATAATCACGAAGTATGCCTCATATTCCTCTTTATTGTTTGAAACGTATCGTAACGATCAGATATGGATCATGTAAAATTACAGTAAAACGTAAATACGACGAATTTATCGTGTATACATATATGTGTATTTATATATATTTATATAAATTCTTGTACGCCACCAAAAAAGATTGCCGAGAGAAAAATACAATCATTTTAACGCCATAAATGTGAATCAATGATTCTGTGCTTCTCGTCTTGACTCAGATTTATGTTCCTTGTTTCAATCGGGTCTCTTCGCTCGGTGCGTTCTTGTGAACACGTGTACTGCACGAAGCTACAAAGATTTGCCCCCGCGTGATGTTCAAGATTCGAAAGAAATTGCAATGTCCTTAAACGATACCAATCGTTTGATAGAAATCTGTCTTCCTTTTATAACAAGATTATTACTCTTTTATCCGAACTACACGAAATCTTGACCAATAATAAAATACCATTTTCCAAAAAGTCTGACCATCGAATCCGTGGATTTCATCCAGAGGCAATCTGTCCAGCTTCCCAGTATACTCGTAAAACGTCGACCACAAACGGTCGTGATCGTGATTTCCTCCGTTCCAACGATTCCTCTGTACTTTCACCGTGTTTGTCGTTTCCCCTTAATTACACGCGACAGTTCGTAAATCTAATTCACAATCATACACTATTTACAACACGCCATATCTCGAGCGGCTCGCTTCAATTAAATTATATTGCTATAGTGTTTGTTCTTTGTTCTCTCGATGACGCTCGCGCGCGGTGTGATATCTTTGGTGTGGTGTTCGTGTCTATTTGTGTTTGTTCTGTTTGTGTATGTGTGTTTGTATATGTACGCAAACATTAATCCCCTCGAAATCCTCGCGCAATCGATGCCCCTCTCTACGGGCGCTAAATACTTTGAAGAACGACCCACGGGTTGCGCAAGCACTTTGAAATAAAAATTCGACACACAAACGGTGGCAGCGTGGATTCGCGGCGACTGCGACGGGCAAAATTCTTATACGGATAAAAAGTTCAAACAACGAATAAAAAGATAAATGCCTGTTTATTCGTTATTGGTCGAATAGAAAGTAGAGTAAACGTTACAAATGAAATTTTGCCCGTCTCTGGGCGGCGAAAGCCAGACAAACTAGTCAAAATTTAACAATTTTGCAACGCCTGGGTCGTTAATTGTCGCTGGAACGATCGCTAAGTGTGCCAGAACCGATTTTAATGAAACTCTGCAGGCTCGTAGACCAATCGAAAATAAGATATTTTTTGACGCGTTAAGATGAAGTTGGATAGAAGGTGGCGAAGAAGTAGTGTAGCTCGTTTTAGCTCTGGCCTACGAAAACAATACGTAATCTTCATCTTGGCTGATCCACGATCCTGCAAAGTTTCATAGTCCATAAAAATCGGCGACGAACATTTCGCGGTTCGTTTCTTGCAAGGAGCAAGGATTCCTCGGGCAAACAATCACAATGGAATGAGTTTAATCGGCAATCGAAAGTATTCGGCGATTAAACATGCAGAAGTTCTAAATTGCCGCGGTACACCGACCGAACGATCGGAAGTATGCAGCAAACGGTGGTTGAAAACAGGGGAATGTTGAAGCTGGAACCGGATCTGGGTGGTTCCTGTGCGAGTCGCTGATTGCTGGCAGCCAGGGTCGCGGTTTCTGTCGTCTCCAACGCTCTGCTACCCTTGATTCCCGGCAACGTAGACTGACAGGTCAGACTTAAAGTGCCTCCGGGGAAATGGTTTCGTTCCAAGCGCAACGACAGGCTGAGACGGCAGGATGACACGATGCTGTCTTCCGCGAACCCATCGGCTGGTACATCTTTGGTTAACGCTGTATTCACCTATCGATTCATAGATACAAATGATGAAGAAGAACGCTATTAACAGACTCGTATCTTCAACCGACGAATATCGATATCGACAGCAAGGACTCGAATACAATGTCCATGTGAGAACACTTCCATAACGAACGGACTAAATGACAAACAGTTTACATTTACGTGATGAGAACTGGGAATACGGGTCTTCGACCAGAGTGTATCGGATTTGATAACAGTAGCTCTGCACCGACCATGTTGCAACAATAGCACTTCCCACAAATCTCTACGTTTGTCGCGTGCTAATACAAGATCTGTTCAAAGCCATCAAATTAACAAGCTTGATATCTCAGACACGTGAATCTCGCCCAGTTAGGTGCATAGCTCAACTGGATGGTTTCCTATCTGACTAAGCAACAGCTAATCTGATCTCATCCTTGTGCCTCGAGTCTGTGGGTCGTCTTATTAAACTCGTTGAGCTATATTGTCTGAGAGATTCTCTGCTTACCTCTTTCCCGTTAAGGATGAAAGTAAGGATTGCTGCGGGATAGCTGGGCGCCGAGGTGCACTCCGCGTGAAGGATCTCGCCGGCCTCGTAAGATGGTCGAAGCCCTTGGAGACTGGGTTGTTCGTTCGGCAGTATGGCGACGCTCATGTTCGCTGCTTCGTAGCTTGTCAGGAAGCTCGGCGCCTCCGAGGACACCTCGCAGCCGTACGATCCCACGAGGTTCACCTTACCTGTCGCAGCCACCACACGTAATATCTTTCTACATTTTGACGTGTCCGCCCAACTGTCCGCCGCGATTGATATTTAAAGTAGCGCGGCGAACTCGCTGGGGCCATAGAAGGGGTGGAGGGGAGGAGGGGGCGTGATAAATTTGATCAGGAACTTGCGAGTAACGACAGCGTCGCGTCGTATACCTCTCGCTCGCGCAGACAGAGAGGTCTCTACGAGGCAGCTAAGTGATGGATGACCGGGGAATTGGGAAGTTTTTCGAAGATTTTTTAATGGGTCATCAGCGTAATGGAATTGGATAAACTGGGTCGTAGGTAACGGCCAAGTTTCGAGGGCATTTTTGAATTTCAAATTTCCCCCGTCATCCGCGGGAGTTGGGTAGAGAGACAATGCATCCGTTGAAAATTATTTGCTTGATTAACGATTCCGCAGCGATGTTGAGTGGAAAGTTAAATAGTAAAGTTCGTGACTAATTGCCATGAATATTCTCCAATTTCTTTTCCGTGGACGATACGATACCTAATTCCATTGACGCAACGTAAGCAGCGAGTTCCTTACGTTTCTTTTCCACGACCCTTTGCTCTCGAGACCGTTGTTCCGTTAACAGCGACGAGAGTTTGAGGGGAAAGAATAAGGGGCCACACTTGCTTCTGGAAACTTATCGCGAAGCTACTTGTTCGACCGTAATGAATTAATGAACTTGCGAGAACTACTTTGAGCTCAGCCTCGAAGGGAGCACGAATGCAATTGGAACGCTCTGCCTCGCAGATTAGAAACCTAACGTCGGGGCGGGCGCGCTGGAAGAAAAAATACACCCTTGGCGCGGCGAAAAATGGGCACGAGCGAAAACTTGATAGTGGCGAGTCCTCGTTTGCGACGCGAAAAGTTCATTCGTTATTTAAGCACAATTTAGCAAGTCCATTAACTTTTATGACCGGCCGGCTAGGGCTTTTAACTGCGGAATAATAATGTCGATTTCAATTTAAAAGGGGGCTACGTTTGCGTTCCTCGTTAACTTTTCCTCCTTAGCATTGCTTGTCTTGATAAATAGGAACAGAACGTTGGAAGGACTATAGCGAGATCGTATGAACCATAAGGAGCGATAGTGCACTTGAACGTTGAGAGTCGAGACGCCAAGATCGAAATACTGTATAATGTTTGGACACGAGCACATTAAAGACCCGGATAGAAGGCTTTGTACGGCCCTCTGTGGCGAAAAAATACATTTGACGACTTGTACCCTCAGGGGTATCGCTTTCCATACCACTTATGTCCGCTTCGAGTACCCCGCTATATTCCTTTCAACCGGTATACGGTATCAAACGTTGGATGGGGCTACCAAAAGGGTTACGCAAGAAACCACTATTTAAATTTACCACAATTTCTTAATCGCGCAATGCATACAGGATTATTTGAAATTCCAAAACGGATCATCCAACCCTTCAAAACGGGACATCGATAACTGGACGCGTACCCTTCGAATTCGATCAAACTCGAGCACTCGTACGTACCCTGTTAACAGTCACTCGAATCGAACGCTTGTCATCCATACTGATAGTAATCGCGGTCGTTAAGTCGAGCTAATTGAACGCATACCAACCTCTTCGATTACTCGCCTGTCCCAGTAGCGTCACTTGTTTGCTGTCGCTCTTATTTACATCGACGTATACGCCCTCCACGGGAAAGTCCCTGCCCGCTGGCATCGAGCCGGGCATGAATCTGAAGAACTCTGCCCCGTCCTTGTACCACTTCACCGAGTACAAATCCTTCCCGTCCAGGTCGTACTCGCACCTCAGAGTCACTTTGTCCAGCCTCGGATCCGCTATACTCGGTACGTCGAGCCTCATGATTCTAATGGCCGCTCCTAAAAAAGCAAACGATTAAACCTTGCCATCGCCTACAACGAAACAGCTATAAAAGTAGTATACAAGAAGTAAGAACCACCAACGCCAACAGCTTTCGAGAACAGAATCAGTAGAATAGCCCTCTGGTGCCAGACGTAGGAACTATTACGATAAGCTCCACAGTTTCCCAATTATAGATCGTTTCTACCTTGTTATATCGTTTTATAAAAGGATATATATTTTTTCACACGGATTAGCCTCGCGTTAAATACAACTCGTTTACATGGTATGCGTTAATTAAGGGTAAAATGGCGGCAACAAGTCACAACAAGCGCAGAGGTTTCGACGTTTGCGCTCTAGATATTCCTTCGTCAATTAACAAACGTCGTTTCGCAATTATCGGCGCGTTGACAAAGCGGCGCGCGACATAATTCGTGCACGTGAACAGCAGCGTAAACAAACTGCGAAAAAAACGTATACATCGAGGGCGGCGCGCCGCGAACCGGCCGAACGAACTTTATTTGCCGCGAGTGGAAAAAAATAGTAATTATCGAGAAAAAAAGAGCTCGACTCCGCGGCGAATTCCCGCGGAGCGCCTCTCCAATCGAGTATTTAACCAGGTCGCACTAATTTATTTATCGCCGATCCGCCGAACAGTCGTCGCAAATACCGAGGTAATTAAAAATATCCGATCAACCAGACGCTCGTGTAATTATCGCCAGGGAAAAAGCAGTCGAACGTTTCAACGGCACTGGCGAATGAAAATGCCTGTGCGAAATTTCCACGCGGTGTGCGGGTCGTTTTTTTCCCTCCCCCATCTTTGTTAACCTTTCGTCGGCCATTCGACACGCTTGCGTCAATATTCCCGGAACGAGAAATTCTAGAAAAATTCACTGTTATTTCTGACGATAATTGTACTTATACACGCCGTTCCAGCTTATATCAATCCTCTTGTCTTTTAAAAATAACATGATACAATGGCGACGTATAAGTAATACAAACACCTCGTCCTAATATAAAGAAGAAAGTTCAAAATAAATGGACCACGAGCGAACCACTCGGCTCGAGGCGTTTCTAAGGGAACAAAAGTCAGAGCTGACGATTTACTTGAAAGCGGGCTGATAGCGACTTTTATCTTGAATCGAGGGTTAGCTTTACATCGTGTAAATATTGTTCGAATCGATGCTGACCAGATCACGACGAAAGTTACGGACTCGCGGCTACAAGGTTTCATTAAAATTGATTTATGAAGCTTCATACTATTTTTTGGTGCGAGAGGGGGCGAAGGGAATTTTGGCAATACGATCCAAGAACGCCCGATCGCGCGGACGAGGTTCGTATTCCCGAAATTGTTCCGTGACGTCGCGTGCCAAAGCGCGAGCCAGCTACGTGCTCTTTGAAACAATAACTGGAGCCACGGATTGTGCTCGAAAAACCGTGGAGCGGCAAAGGACCAGCCACTCTGTATTCCATCGGCGAAGCGTGCGGTCGTAAACGATTTCCAGATCGCGCGAATTTGTCATACACTTGGCACGCAAACGAACGTTATCGCGGGGAGCCGTTCACTAACCGAAGCGCGGAACACGCGAATGGTAGCGATAAAACCGCGTCACCGGCGACCGAAACAAGTGCAGTTACCCTTGTCGCGGGGGTTGACGAGGAGGGGCGGAAGTTATCGCGACGAGACGGCCGCGTGAAAGGCGTCGAATGTCGACGCGCAGGCATTAAACGACCGCGAGCCTAACCGAATGGGTGGGCGCTGTCCCAACTGCAAGGGGAGTCCACGGGTTTGGTATTTAAATTGCAACGCACCGACCCTTCTATCTAAATACTTTCATTCCGAGTCAACCCTCTATTGCGAAGGCCGAATTCTGCGTCGCGCGAATCCCGCCACGTCGAATCCTGATTTGAATAGCGAATCGACCGTGCAACCTCTGTTGTTAATTTTGTTGCAGTAGTTTTAAAAATAAAAACAGAACGAGTTGGATTGTTTTCCCCCGAAATTACAACGATCAAAGGCACAACTTATTGATGCGTTCCACTTACCGTGACAGCTTTGTCTGACGTTAATCCACGAAGCACCTGAACGTCCTTTTCTCGACGTAAAATCGTAAACCAGAATCGATTTCTTGTCAAGAAAGTCTAGCCAGACTTCCGACTAAAGTATTTTGATCTACTTCCCGATTTGACACTGAAGGGTTTAAATTACATATAAAAAATTCATATTTCAAGAAACTACGAGATTTCAAGTTCCTTCCTCCAAGAATCTCAATAATTAAATTTAGAATACTATTATTATCACAGCAAGAGTTTAAGAATCGTTGCAGTTATATTATCTTTTAAGAGAGCAGTTGAGTTATGACCCATAGTTTCTTTAATATTTTCCAACCCCGTGGGAAATGGGACACGAGCAATGGAAAAAGAAACTTTGACCTTGATTTTTTAGGTCAAGGTCAATTTTGTGTCTACTTGTAACAGATGTCCACCCGGTCCAAAGGCGTAGAATCTTGCTCTAATGGTCGACACATACTTCTCTTACAGTTTGTACAAAAAGAGGACCACTCTGTAAATAATTCTTGTTTTTGCGCGTGTCTACATGTTTCCATTCAGTAATGTTTACCTAAACGAAAAAGACACGAAGCTTGTGAAGAGTCTGGACGGTACCCAAGGATACCGACACCGACCAAACATTCCCACCCATGCTTTTCACGTGGGAGAAATCTTTGTCATGTTGATGGCTGCGGGCGGTTTCATAGCGGTTTGACTGGCAGCTTCGGGGAACGGTAACGAGACATTATAAATAATTCGTTGTCATTTCAGTTTTTTACGCTGGTATAAGCACCAATTAACTGTAGCGGGCGAGATCCCTTTGGTTACCCCGTTCACCGTGGCGAATCGCATGGATGGCTCTGTTTAGGGCCGAGTTTCGAGTGTCGTTCCTCTTGGTCACCCCCCACCGCCCTTTCTCTACCCTTGCACGAACAAAGAAAGAAATACTGGCTGCCGATTCCTTTGTTTTCGTTTCGTTCGTGCGCTCGCCGCGAATGGACCCTGACGAGACGTTATTGCATTGTGCAAGGTGGATCGCGAATTCGAAACGACGCGACGGAACGCAACGTTTCGAGGCGCGCAGAATTTAGGGCGTTGCTGAAATTTTCATATGCGTCTCGGTTTTTGCTGGAGCAGAAACCGTAGATACGCTTTGTTCGATGAAATAATTAGTATACACTCGCAAAGAATAGAAAACATTATTTTAAATTGAGTGGACTTACGAATATCGGTAAGACAATTTATCTAGTCTTTGCTATTGCGAAGACTGGAAGGTGCAAAGGCTGAAGTGAATTTTGATACGCGTCTCGGTTTTTGCTGGAGCAGAAACCGTAGATACGCTTTGTTCAATGGAGTAATTAGTATACACTCGCAAAGAATAGAAACCATTATTTTAAATTGAGTGGACTCACGAATATCGGTAAGACAATTTATCTAGTCTTTGCTATTGTGAAGACTGGAAGGTGCAAAGGCTGAAGTGAATTTTGATACGCGTCTCGGTTTTTGCTGGAGCAGAAACCGTAGATACGCTTTGTTCGATGTAATAATTAGTATACACTCGCAAAGAATAAAAAACATTATTATAAATTGAGTGGACTCACGAATATCTGTAAGACAATTTATCTAGTCTTTGCTATTGCGAAGACTGGAAGGTGCAAAGGCTGAAGTGAATTTTGATACGCGTCTCGGTTTTTGCTGGAGCAGAAACCGTAGATACGCTTCGTTCGATGGAATAGATAAATGTCTCATTGAGATTATAAAAAACAATGGGAAATAAAGTGGTAAATTTTGTTTTGGAACTGTTGGCGGGCTCGTCAATAACACTTATTAAATGAACAATATTTCAACAGCGGCAATTTGTCTCCTCGTTTAACGAACGAGCCTCGTAAATTTTATCGAACACAAATGTCAACTACCTGCGCAGTGGCAATATTGCGTCGATGTGAATTGCAACATAAATAAGTCGTTTGCACGTTCGAGAAGGCAAAATGAATCTTAAATGGAACAGCTGTTGGTCGCGGCGTAGAGCAAATCGACGAGTGGAACGCAAACGTGTAAAATAAACGGGCAGCCGACCAGTGGCAGCCGTTTCCAATAAAGCCTACTACCTTCCTGTCAAATTTATTGCATGCTTAATTAGCGGGCAAATAACACGATTAACGAGGACCACTAGGTACGCGATAGTTTGTAGCGTCAGCCGCTGCCGACTGAAAAAGCTTCGACTCGTTACACGCACCGGGGAACTGTTGCATGCGACAGGAAAAACTGCCGCATTCGCTGTGTAAAAAAAAAAAAAAAACGAAAAAAAAAACAGCTAATTGGAGTGCAGATTTCCATCAGAAAACCTAACCGCTTTACGATGAATTCTTTTAATCTCCGATTATTGGAAACTGCTACCGTTTTTTTAACGACCGATAGGATGGGGGAACAACGATGTTTCCGTTTCGAATTTACAAATTGGTCTCAGCGCGGTGTAATCGTCGACTCGGTGAACAAATTTTGACGATTCTTTGCGTAAAATGCAACAATTATACGTATTGCCGGCAGCGTTAAATGTATTTTATTTCGAATATCGAGTAAAACGTAACGGTGTATTGGTAAATATTGAAACAAATTTATTTGGGGCAATGTTAACGTGCTAAATTTCAAATAAATCACCGTATCTTTGATAGAAGCATCGACTTGATTTGTGGTAGTTACCCATTTGAACGTTCCGAATGTCTAGACACGCATGAGAACGTCTTAAAATGAGAGAACGAGCAGGCAGTCATTCGCAGACGTGCCCAACCCAAAGCAAACGTGGCCGTCGCTTTCAGAGCCTCGCCATTGTCCCCCTAGCCGTTGTGACTCGTCGCGTGGCATATTAATTAATCCGCTAATTATTAAACTAATTGCCGGGCTTAATTGGCTCGTGAGAAGCCCGGGCCCTTTCACCGCGACGAAGGGACGAAAGAACGTGCTGGAGGGGGTA